GGTTCAGCACTCCTGGATTCAATCCTCAGTATTTAAAAGAGAGAGAGAGAGAGAGAGAGAGAGAGAGAGAGAGAGAGAGAGAAATTAAGGGACACAGAGACATAAAAGAAGAATCCAATCCAAGAGAACCAATATTCACCTACAGGGATTTCAGAAGGAAAGACGGCAAGATGAATTGAGGAGGAGCTAAGGGAAGATACTACCATGTGGGCTCCACAGTGCCAGGCAAGAACGAGATTCACACCTCCTGAAATGCAAGAGCACAGGGAAAGCCCCACAGCATTCAGAAAGCAAGAGCAGATCACCCACTAAGGAACCAACATCAGAATCGCATCAGCACCAATGCATGCAAAGGTAAGAGAGCAAGGGAAGATACTAAGAAGTTCTGAAGGAATTGATCCGAGCCTGGCTTTAGCTCCAGGGAAATAAGCAAAGAAGCATAAAAACAAAATATTCAGACGCACAAAGCTTTAGGAATTTTACCAACCTTGTAACCTTTAGAGAATATTACTAAAGGAGATATTCTAGCAAAAAAAAAAAAAAAAAAGGGAATTCAAGAATGAGGACTAGAATCCAAGAAGCAGTACATCGAATCAAGAGTGCAATATAGAATTTCAAGTCTAAGGAGAAGAGCTGTACAAAAGCCTACAGAACTTTTGGTTCCAATTAAGACCAAATGTTAAGACGGTTCTGATGAGAAGCGCATCTTTAAGAAGAAAATGAAGCTGGGCCCAGTGGTGCACAAGAGTAATCCCAGTAGCTCAGGAGGTTGAGGCAGGAAGATCACAAGTTCAAAGCCAGCCACAGCAACTTAGGGAGACCGTAAGCAACTTATTGAGACTCTGTTTCTAAATAAAATATAAAACGGGCTAGGGATGTTTCTCAGTGGTGAATCACCCCTGGGTTCAATCCCCGGTACCAAAAGAAAAAGGAGGAGGAAGGGGAGGAGGAGGAGGAAATGAATCCCTGTAATAAATAACATCATAAAGGCATAACAGCAATGAATTAATGAATCCTAACAAGACACTGCCCCTCCCCTTGCCCCTGCTTCTCTGTTCTGAGAAGCTATGTCACCTTTGGGCAGTGGAGGTTGTGGACACGGGATCCACGTCTCTTTCACTTCACCTGCACACACTACTTCAACTCCGTGCTTTGTACCCAGTGCCGCCTTGTAATGTGGAGAGTAACTCTGCAGGGAGGACTGTGTCTGGTCACAGGTGGACAGAGGCTGTGCCTGGGAAAGAAAGCTGGAGTCCAGGGTCACAAGATGACTGCTTAGAAGCGGCCTAAAAATAGTTTCAAATATTAATATTTGAAATCATAAATGTAACCAAGTTAAAAAGGTGACAAATATACAACTGTTGGGACAGGAAAGTAGACAGAGCACATGAGCTAGATCCCTCCTTTTTTGTTTTTTTATTAGAGAATTGATAAGTTTATTATTTTTTTTTTTAATGTTTTCATTACCCCCTTCCCTGGCCAAAAAAAAAAAAAGAGAGTAATGAATGAAAGTCATTAGGATAATGCATTATCATTCTCATACCCTTAAAATAGATAAAAGACAAAAGTCCTTAACCTTGAACTGCCCACAGGGCCCCTGTGTGCTGTGTTTGCCATTCTGGCATCCTTTTCAAGCAGATGATACTTTCCTTTAATACCTCCTCCTTAATCCTCAATTTTCTTTTGAACATCAGATATTGGAGAGGCTGGAACCGCATTTAGGCAGTAGAGAACTGTAGTGCTTTGTGGCCAGGACCAGCCAAGGAGAGAAATAGTTTTGATACTAAAGAGTAATTCATTAAAGAAGGTAATGAAGGTGATGTAAACCTTCCACAAACACATCTCTGGGTGTATAAAGCTCATCACTCTAAGTTCAAGGTCATGGCTGAATGGGATGTAAAAAGAAGAAAATAATAATAAAATTAACTACAAAAATGTGTCAAAAATCTCAGTGGGGCTCCGTGGAACCTGACAATGTAGAATTTGATAAACAAGCAAAAAAAACCTTCCATTAATATTATGAGAAAATCTCTTTGGAATAAAGCATTGAATTACCATGTTATTTTTCATACTCATTGCTCACTTCCAAGGTCTTAGAGAAAGACTTTGAGGTAAATTTTGCTTATCTGATTACAGTTGGTGGGTTCTGCCACATACACACTTTGGCCAGATACACATGTGGTCTCATGAACAAATTTGAGTGGTTTGGATGATTGAGAGATGTGCAGTGAGAGAGCAGAGCTACAAGACTGGGGTATTTGTGGCTGAGATTCGGTCTCTTTGAGGGCTGAGTGCACTTTGTTTTGGGGAGCTCAGGTGCCCAGGCATCTGCCGATAGGTCTGCCATGGTACACACTCATCTACCAACCCTGAGGCCCACAGATGCTACTCTGAAAAGTAGCATAGGTTGACTGTAGAGAGAAGAATCTTGGACTGTTTTTGTGCCCCTGTTTCTTCAAAGAGAATTTCAACCGTATTTTTAAAAATTATACCCATAAGGCAGAATCTCAGTGGAGGTCTCAACCAGGCATATTGAGCTGACAGAGAAATCCCCGTGTTGGAGAGGTGAAGGAAACCCTGAAAGCTCTGCTACAGCTCCCCATCAGATGTCAGACAGCCCATAGGACAGCCCTGCTGGGTGGGTTGACATCCTGTGCCTGGACTTGAGTTCTCTGCCTGAACATTTTCTGTGCCAGGTCTCTCACTGCTACACAGGGTCCTTCCTCTTGTTGGATAGACTATGAGCAATTCCTTTCCAAGTCAAGCCAAATTCTACTGTTCCTATGTCTTTCTTTCTTTTTAATTTTGTTAGAGAATTATATTTATACATAATATCTGGGTTCCTTTTGACATAATTATACATACAAGAAATTTGGTTTCTAATTTGGTCTTGAAGTCTCTCTGTTGAGAGCAGCCATAAACCAAGCCAGCCCCTCTGTAGGACAGCCCTGACACAGGACAGGCGAGATTCAGTGTGAAGATCAGGTAGAAGTGTAGCAGGCTAAAATAATGAAGGATTTTATTGGTTAAAGACCCCAGAGAGGAGGGCGTGCCCACAAGTGTTGCTGAGAAGTCTGGAGGCAGCAGGGAATTCTACCAGCACTGTGTCGGAGGAGCTAGGACTGAGGACCAAGTCTCTGTTAGGTCCTTGGTGTAATCCCTCAGGCTTTTCTGCAGGCAGTGTCTTGGCTACTTTAAAGGAGACAAGCATGGGCCTGGCACAGTGGCACATACCTGCAAAAATTAAAAAAAAAAAAGAAAAAAAGCATGCATGGAGGGGAGACTTATATATACAGGACTCTGATGTTGGCTGTTAGATTTCATCCTGGCTGGCAGCTCTGCTGTCTCACAGCTGGGTTGGGTTTGGGTTCAATGGTTGAGGATCAAGTAGATCTCAACCATACCTGTGGAAGGGATTTTTCCCTGGGGAGGGGGCCACGGTTCTGTAAGCCACAGGTGATGAGGTACAGGTGATGGAGTTTCAATCAGCTTAATTCAGGCCTAAAATCAGATGCAGAGGCGGCAATATACCAAATTTATGACCCCGTGGTTATCCATCAGCTGGCTTCCATTCTCTAGAACAACACTTTGACACGTCTCCTATGCCAACAGCCTTTCAGATATCTCACTTGGTCTTTTTCTTCCCCACCTAACCTTGTAGTTTACTTAACCTAAAGAACAATATCCTAGGTCCACAAAGATTCAGTGAAGACCTGGAATCTGGGAATGCAATGGAAAGTGCTCTCCCTCTTTCTTTCCTTCCTCTCCCCTCCCCCAGCACCATTTTATTTTCCTGAGAATGATTTACATTCACATATACCAATTGTGAATTTCCTAAAATCAAAAATATTCTCTTTTGTAACCGCAGCTCGTCAATATCTGAAAAGTAACCCTGATATAACACTAGTGTCTAATCTATAGATCTTAGTCAAATTTTGCCTATTGCTCCACTGATGCCTTTTATAGTGAAAACAAAAATCGTTTCATGGCCCAGGATCTAAGTGCTCTATTATACTTGGATGTCATGTCTCTTTAGCCTACTTTAGCCCCAATTCCTCAATCTTTTTTTTCCCCCTTTTATGATCTTGACATTTGTAATGAATATAGGTCAGATATTTTATAGCACATCCCTTACTCTGAGTTTGCTGATTTTTCTCATGACTTTGTTCAGGTCATGCGTTTGGGGCAGGAGTACCACAGAAATGATTTTGTGTCTTTCTCAGTGCATCATTGTATCGGGAGACACATCACAACCCTGTTCCATTACTGGTGTGTTGATTTGATCAGTCAAGTAAGGGGATATCTGCCGACTTTATGTGCAGTGGTAAGGGCAGAAGCTGGGCTCTGAACCCAGGTATTTTAACTCTAGAGTCTACATGACACCTTTATGTATCTCTGGAAGTGTGAACTTGATATATATGGAATTAATGAAGGATCTTGGGAGGACTCACTGGGCTATTCTCAGGCAGGTGTGGCCCTGGAGAGCCTGTGATTGACATTGCCTTTTCCCTGTGTTGTCAGAGTCTAACAGCCGAAGGGCGGTGAACAGAGGCTATGTCACCAGCTTGCTCAGACTGCATCAGGACTGGCACAATCACGACACCGTCAACACCTTCGTGATGATCCGTCGGGGGCTTCTACTCTGTCTCCAGCACATCGTCACCTTCCGGTCGGGCAGGGAGGCCTTCCTGGCGGCCCAGGGCATGGAGACCCTGTTCAGCATTACACAGGTAATGCTTCTGTTGGGATTCACTCTACAGTCGGATGACATCTGGATGATTCCTAAGGGCTGAAACACAACGAAACAGACCCGGGAACACTTGACAATGTTCTTGGTGCTCACTGTGACAGGTGTTCTGGATTCACATCCTCAGTCATGGATTCATTCATTGATTCCATATATCATCGATTGAGTTCACACTACTAGAGGCCCAGAATGGTGTCCTGTGAACTCCAGAGTCAGGGTACATGACTCTAGAAGTTGAAGTCTCTCTGTTGAGAGCAGCCATAAACCAACCCAGTCCCTCTGTAGGACAGCCCTGACGCAGGACAGGCAAGATTCAGTGCAGATCAGGTGAGATGTGTAGGAGGCTGAAATAATGAAGGATTTTATTGGTTAAAGACCCTAGAGAGTGTGTGTGTATGGGGGGGGGGATGATTCCAGCCTCTGCCCTGACTGCTGTGCAACCTCAGAAAAACCACTTATTTTTTTCTTAAAAAAAAAGATGGAAATAAAAACATCTAGGTTGTTGTGTGAACTAAATAAGTTAATGTGCTCAGAAGAGTGCTTAGCATATTTTAACTGCTTCTTGATTGTGAACAGTTATTGGAAGAATAGTACTGGAAATCTAGTGGTGAATATAGCAGATAGACTCTTGGTCTTGTGGGGCAAATATCCTAGCAGGAGACAGACATTAAGCAAGCAAAGAATCCTATGAGGAGGATAATTTCCTATCGCTCTGTGTGATCAAGAGTGTAAGGATGACTCCCATAGGTGGAGGGATGAGGTGTTCTTTAGAAGGACCTGGACATGCTAATTGTAAGGGGACAAGAGTCCCAAGCAAAGGGAGATCAACTGCAAGGCCTGTGGAATGAATGTGTGGTCTAGGGTTACCTGGATGCCAACCCAAATAACTAAGTCTGATGATGATTCAGACATCATCATTCAACGCTATATTTATCCTCTTTATTGGTGACACAAGAATCCCAAATCTCCATTATCTGCACTTTCGCATATGTTAGGTCCCCAATGTCTTTCTATTTACCAGGTTCTGCACTTATTGATCCTCTCTGGACCCCCCTCCATTTTTTCTCTACCTGAATATACCCAGAGGCAGCCAACAATTGGGCTGTTTTCTGACCATGGTGTCTGTAGAGTTTTCCCATTTAAAAAATGGCTTTTCCCCCTAAACCATAACATAATACTGTGCTGCAAACCAATATCTAATTTTCTATGTGCTATCACCTCTGGGTTTCTCTCCATCATCATAGATTTCAGAGCTTCTCCATAATGAAATAGCTGCATTTTACTTCCCGCCCCCCCACCCTGGATGAAGCAAAGCTTTGAATTTTTCCAAGTTTCCACATGCTTTTTGGAAGCTTGTAGTCAAGCTTGTAGTCACCCAAATCTCTAATCTCTCTCAGTTTTTGTGAAATGTCCCTTTGTATTGCTGATGCTAAAAACCTCCATTCTGTCTTGTATGCTTTACCCAGTTCCTCTACCCTCTGCAGTATTGGCTGTTTCTCTGTTCTGTGCTACAAAAACAATTAAAAGAGCAATAAAAGAACATGACCACCCCAGATATACACATCTATGATAGGACTACAGTGGAGAAAACACCAAGTGAAGCCCAGGAATTGGGGGGTTGCAAGTGTGTATGCAGGGTTTTAGTAGCAATTCCTTAGTAGGTTAGTGAAGACCTCAACTGTTCAATTAAGAACATTTATAACAAGCTCCCAACCTCCAATTACTGCTGCGAATGGAAGCTGGATGTGAATGGAGGTAGAATCTATAGCAAGGTTTCTCCATCCCATGAATTATATAAAAAAACTTGTTCAGGAGGAGTCTGTGGAACAATGCTGCATAAATTGGCTGTGATACATTAAGGCCAGCACATGGAGGAGTGTGAGAAATGTATGGGTGACAACTTCAAGGGGTTGAATTCTCCACCTTCACCCCTTCCCTGTTTTGCTTTTAGTGTTTTAAGTAATACGTTCTTCTAGAGGAGATGTTCTCAAGTTCATGTGCAAAGTCTGACATTTGACGATGTTCTCCTGTTTTTGGGAAATGATCCTTTCAGGTGCAAGATATGTTTTCTTGGCTTAGAAACCAAATGGCCCATTACTCCCCTGGCAGAATCATAGCAAGTGTTGAGTAGCCTCCCAGTCCTGGGCTGAGTGCTCTGAGCACAGATGCCCTTTGCAGCTGTGCTGAGTTTGAGCTGCCCATCACTCCTGCTGCCTCTTCTGCTGGAGAAAGCTGGCTGGATGGCCAACTCAGGGACCTTGGATCTGGTGATGGGTGTTTCAATCTCTATTTAAAAATTAGAATGATCGTGGTGGTAATGCTGCTGCTGCTGCTTCTACAGCTGCTAACGATGATGACAGTGATGGTGGTGAAATAATAATGAAGCAGCAACAGTGGAAGAGGAAGAAGAGGAGGAGGAGGACAAGGAGAAGGGAGGGACAGTTTCTTTGTATGGAGCTCTTACTATGGCCCAAGTCTAACTTAGTGATTTATAAGAACCTTCCAATTTTGACATTTTAAAAAAGCTTTTGAGGTAGACTGTATTATCATCCTCATGGTACAGATGAAGAATCTGAGAAAAAATATTAGGTAATTTGCCCAAGTTCGGGAAGGTAGTTAGTGTTGGAGCTTGGCTTTGAATCTGCTGGCTTCACCCGAGAGCTTGTGCTTTTCCTCCCTGTACTAGCATTGCCCCAAGTTGAGTATGCACTGGGGTGGGCTGGAGGGCTCCTTACCACAGGGCTCTCTGGGCTTCATCCTCGAAATTCCTGACCTAGAAGGTCTGAGGAGGGGCCTGATAATTTTCACGTTAGTTTCTAAGTGATATCGATGTTGCTGGTCTGGGGATCACAGTTTGAAAAGCACAGTCCTGTACTATTTCTGTTGAGGTTTATGATATAATTACAAGCCTACCGGGCATGAAGTTGACTGAGAAAAAGCTATTTTTTGAGTCTTTCCCATAGCTTTTGCCCAACGTATTGTCCTTTGCTTCTCTGTTGAGGCCACTGCTTGTCATGTCTCTCTCTTCATGAGCCCACCTCTTTGTTTCCTGGGTCACCATCCCTGTGCATACCTCTAAGCATCCCCTAAACATTCAAAGGCTGAGATTATCTATAGTGCAGGAAGGGAGCTGTATACTGCAAGGCAGTCTTGTTGGAGATTTGCATGAAGAAGGCAGAAAGATAACTTGATGTAAGATTAAAAGAAAAAACCCATACAAGGATGCTCTGAAACTGTATGAGATAATTATTCATTTGGACAAATAGGTAATCACAGAAGAATAAACCTATGTGAAATAATCAGATGAAGGGACCACGCTTTAGAGCTATAACAATTTAAGAGGGTTAAAAAGCTGCAAAAATTCGGTGGTTCTCAAAGTTGACATGTATATTAGAATCACCCAGAGATTTATACAGACTGTTAGACCCCATCCCCAGAGTTTCTAATTTGGTTGGTCTGAGGTCTGCACAAGCTTGTGCATTCTCACAAGTGCTCAGGTGAGGCTGATGATACTTGTATTGGTATCGCACTTTGAGAAAATCACTGGGAAAAGGAATGATATTGCCTCACAAAAGACACAGCAGCTGCTATTTTTACCAGAAAGAATGGAAGGCCAAACCTTGATTCATCAGGATCCTCATTGCTAAACAGGCCCAGCTACTACTATCATGGATCTCTGAAAGGAAGGACTGAATCCTAATGAGAATGTTACCAACTCGGCATCAGGAGCTAGATACCCTGGAGGTCAGATTGGCCCAAGAACATTTATTTTTTACTCAGTTTCCTGAGTCCTAATTTAGGAAGGGTGTTGGGGCTGATTAATCCTTCTCAGGGAACTTAACATTCCATAGTGAGGACAGACTAAGATGATGGCTGTACAGGAAGTGAATGGACCCAAAACCATGCAGAAGAAGGAAAGCTCCATTTATCTTGGCTGAACAGAGGGGCCTTCAGAAGGAATCCTATTTGAGTCAGGCCAGGAGAACAGCTATTGGTTTAGGCACTGTTTAGAAGAACAGAGGAGATAGTCTTTGGGCAAGGACACAGAGAGGAACTAGTATAGAACTAGTGGGAAAACGGGACATTTTGGGGAGTCAGGCAGAAGGAAAGACCTAGATGAGAGCAAACCAAGGGGTCCCAAACCAAGAGTATTTCCATGGAAGACATTCCTAACTCAGAGCTACAGTACGTCTGCTCTGGGTCTTAGAGTTTACCCTCCTATGTTCAAAAAGACTAGAAAGAAAGAGGGGAATGGGCTACACCAGGCTGGGGTCAGAGCATAAGTCTTGGGCCCTGAGACCTGAATGACAAGAAAGAAGCAGGGCCATGATGGTCTGAGGAGCTGAGGGTTTCAAAGAAGGAAGAAATAAGCAAATGCAGAGGCCCACGTTCAGGTAGGGTGATGGTTTGGGTGTGGAGTGAGCTCAAGATACAGAGAAGTTGGCGGAAGCCTGGTGAGCGAGGGGCAAGGATTGAGGTGAAGTTGGAGACACAGGCAGGGGCAGCGTTCAGTGCTTCCTGAACCACGGGAACGAATTTGGGTTTTTATTTCCATCACCCAGAAAGAAGGCGGCATAAGGTGGAAAGAAAGGGCAGATCAGACTACATAGTTTTCTGCCTCATGAGCAGGAATTTGGATCTTATTTTATCAGGTTTAAACATGGAGAAACATGGTTTTAAATTTAAGAAATAAAAATTTTAGGGACAACAGATGTAACTCAGGGGTACAGCTTTTGCCCAGCATGAGGCCCTAGCTTCAATTCCCAGAACTGCCTGAAAGTGTTTTTTAGTTGTAGCAGGATAGCTAGAATATGAAATTCACCCTGTTACCTCTTTTTAAGTATACAGTTTCGTAGTGTTCAGTAAACTGCTGTACAGCTACACTCATGCATCTCCACCACACTTTTCATCTTGAAAACTGAAACTCTGTTCCCATTAAACTGATTTATGCTTTTAAAGGAACGTTTTCAGAGAGGAGATTATCAGAGGGCATGAGGGGAAAGAGGGAGAGTTAAGAAGGTGAGGGGGAACATTGCTCTGCCTGCAGGAGCTCAGTGGGAGGTACTAATGGCATTGGCTCCTGTAGAAGCAGAACTGGGACCATGACTTCTCTCTCTTAACCAGAATCCTTTTCCACTAAAATGTCTCACTTTGTTATTATAAGGATTATTACTAGGACTCTTCCCTGAGTACTGTGACCTTCTAGGATCTACTTTTTTTTTTATGTGATTTTCTGAAACTAATGATGCCTTCTGACATCTTAGGCCTCCTGAGCACCTATCTGTTTGTTCTAGATGAGTGGACCTAGGAATTTCTATTACCTTGGAACCAAGGATCACCTGTGAATTTCTAAGTATTTCCTCTACAGTGTAGTAGACATCAAATATAACATTATTCCTAATGCCTTGGTTTCTGAAGATTTCAATACCAATTCCACCTTCCCCAATTCAGCTCACACTGTGGACTGAACTTTCAGAACACTATTTATGTTTGCTTCCATTCTTCCACTGATATTTCACCATTTCACACAAGGTCAAAAGCCTGATCATATCTATCAGCATTGATTATAATCCTATATCGACCTGGTTTTAAAATGTTGGCTTTTCTGGCTGAACTCTGCCTTGACCCTGGCTCTGTTTCTCCCAAGATTGAGGTTTGGAACATTATCTCTGATCAGCCATCTATCTCACCTTCCCTGTTCCTCTTCTACATTCTGTTTTTTTCTTTTATCAACTCTAATAACTTTTCACTAAACACTTGAGGCCATTTGACCAGGCCAAGGGGTGGAACAACCTCAACTAATTCATTTTCCATGGGGAGTGTTTCCTGTTGTGCACTCTGACACAGCTGATTGGTACCATTTCAGCACACTGAAGGGAAAATGGCATTCTTGATTGTATTAAGACATTTCTTTTTGGAGAAATGTAGCTATTGAAGTTATTTGGGTAGCTTGAATTCATAGGTAAATTTTTATCAAGATATTTTTCCTCCATGTTTTTGCATATGGAGCTATGTGCAATGTGGGCCTAGAGGTACACAGTGTGGTAGTATCACAGAACTTCATATGCCCTGTGGTGGGACCCCACATCCACCAGAGCTACTGCTATGACTTATTGTCCTCAGAGGTTGCTGCTCCTATTAGCAGTATCAGACTGGAAGTCCACACTAGTCAAATTTCTATACCAAGTCAGCACAAAAAATCATTTACTACTGAAAAAAAAAAAAGATTGTGTTTTTGCCAAGGAGATACAGAACAATACTGAATTCTTTCTCTCTCTCTCAATTTAGTAAACTTGTTCTTACATTTTTCAGAGTGTCTGAAAAGAAGGATCTTGTCATGTTCCATCAGAATCAAAATGTTACATCTGCAAACCCAATTTTTCTTTGCTTTGGGCAGGTACCAAGAGGGATCAACACTGGGCTTTGAGATGAGGCATGCTGTTTAATTTAGGTACATGGGATTTACTGAGTCTTTCCTTCTGATTTCATTATTTTATCTTTTTCCTTTATTTTTTCTCTTTACCTGAGAGAGCAAAGCAAGACTTCCATCAACTCAGCTTCTCATTCCCTATCTCAGTCTATAATTTACAATGACTCATGGATGGCCAGAGGAAGGGGTCCCCCTTCTCTTTCCACAGCCATCCTCGGCAGTGTCTTGCCTTAAGGCCAGCATCCCTTGAAGTAATTATAAGTCTATTTTCATAGTACCAGATGAGCAGTGTGGGAAAATGCTACATTAGACAAAATTCTATGTGAGAATGTTCAAACTAGACATTCGACATTAAGGCCGTTTTCTGTCCATTTAGCCTGTGTGTGATTCACTTACTGAAAAATGTTGGAGTGAGGGGTCTGCACATAGATGTCAGTGTCTGATATCATTTTCCCTTTGGTCAGAATTGCCTGGACAACAAGGGCATGGAGCCTGTCATCTCTGTCATGCTGCAGATCCTGAGGCAATGCTACCCAGTGAGTCCACTTCCTTTGGTCACACCCAGCAGTGCCTATGTCTTCTCAGTCCCTGGGAACTTCAACCCTGAGCCTCCATGTGCTCTACCTGAAGGTAAAATGCCCAGATAGCTATGAGCTTATAGACAAGCTTGTATTTTAGTAATATGGCAGGGGAATGTGGATGGAAGTAGAATTAGCTGTTTTGCAGGCCAACCATAATTGTTCAGTAAACTAATTATAGGTATACACAGAAAAAGCAGTTTTTTTTTATATACAGGTTAGACAAACACCCAGATCTGTTATTTTGCTCTTAATTATTAACTGTTGCCACTTTGCTTGGTAGCTATTGAGAGCCTCTACTATCTCCTTAAATAATTAAAAATAATCTATTCACAATTCTGTGATGGAGTTCTTTCTAATGTACTGACTGTTAGTGGAATTAATTTTCCTGAAGGATTAAACTGAAAGAAATGTCTTGCTATTAACAACCCCATGCTACTCATAATGGAATATTTACCAGTGTGATTTTTTTTAATCTCCAGAAAGATCTTAACTGTCAAAAGAATTTAGTGCTTTTCAACCCCGGTATGCCTAGTATGGAACAGATTTTGCTCAGGTGTAATTTTGCCACAATGACATTAGATGTTTTTTTAAATAAGTTCCTGCATTTAAAAATTAGAGACTGAAAGCTATATTCGTGTTGTAACAAATTTTGTATGCATGTGATTACTAAACTTTGGCATTGACAGTTACACAAATATCCATAATCAAGTGGGAGAAAAACCAGAGTAGTATAGGTGTGTCATTTTATTCTGTTTGTATCTTGCATTTGATGTGGGACCACAGTTTAGACTTAATGATCTCGTGTTCACACGCCTGCATGCACACTCTGCATGCACACCCTTTATACATACAGATAAGATTTACAGTACACTGGGATATTGTGCATTTTAAACAATGGGTCCCTTATTGGTGTGAAGATGCACCAACCACTGTGATGAGTCTAAGAAAACAGAAATGCCTCATTCATTTCACTTTTCTTTTCCCCATGCAGAAGATTTTGAAGATGATGGTGATGAAGAGGTGGACAAAGACTCGGATTCTGAGGATGTGAAAGAGGAAGTAGGTAGACAAGCTCTGGCTTGTAATGATCTCCACAGTCACATCACGCAAAGAAAAATATCATGTCCCATGTTTGCCAAATCCAGTGTAAATTTTAAGGACTTACTTTATGCTACCATTATGGTGATTGATGCTCAAAAAAGGACAACTACTGTTATTGATTTCCCAGTTATCATTTTCATCTTGATGAGCCTAGTATACTGTTTCATTGTGAAGTTGGAGCTATTGATTGTTAAAATGCTATTATTCTATTAGCATGATCCTTGCATAGACACTTAATGCTTATGGTTGGTTTATTTAACAAGTGCCCATGAGACCATGCAAAGATTTTGTAGAACACTTTCTACTCGTTCACACCTATCTTCATAAAGCACTCTTCTTATCTGCCTATTCTTCACAGAGCTAGTGCATTGTCCAAACCCACTTATATTTGTGGGAATTGCTCTCCTTTGAGTTGCAAAGTGTACAACCTGGCCCACAAGAGATTCATGCTCCTGGGCCCCTATCTGACAGTGGCCTCTGTTACAGAACAGAAGTTAGCAAACTTTCTATAAAAAGTCATATAGTAGTTATTTTAGGTATACTATACCATACAGCCTTTGTCACAACTGCTCAAATTGCCATCATAGCATAAAAGTAGGCCCTAAGAATACATGAATGAGTGGATATGGCTGTGTTCCAATAAAACAGACAGTAGGACGTACCTTGCTGACAGCTTTTCTACAACAGGCATTCTAAACCTTGGCACTTTGGCATTTTGAGTGAATAGTTTCTGTTTGTGGGGGCTATCCCGTATATTGCAGGGTGTTTAGCCGCATCCCCGACCTCTGAACAATGCTAGCGTCTATCCCTTTGCTCCTCATTCGTGAACTGAAGATGTCTCCAGGAATTGCCAAAATTTCCCTTAGTTGAGAACCTTTGCCTTTGAGCAATTACTTATCTGCATTATAATTCTCTCTTCATTCTTGATGGTGCACATGGATTTGAACAAATTTCTTCAAGTTCCTTAGTTTCATCATCTGCAGAATAAAAGATAGGAGTAAATGCTACCATCCCTAAGGATAAAACTCCAAATTAAAAATCTATTTCTGTCTATCTTCCTTCCCTCCTTCCTTCATTTATTTCTTCATCCATTGGTCGGTTTGCTCATTGTTCCTTCTTTCCTCCCTCTGTTTCTCCTTCCCTTTCCTCCTATCTAGAAAGAATCTTTTGAGTTCTCTATCATGATAATCACTCACCTTGCTGAAGGTAGTGGCAGACATTTAGTGACTATCTCTTAGCCACATCTCTGGGCTTAGACTGCTATTGACAGTCTTGGTGTTCTCAGGGTTTTGTTGATAAATAGAATCATTTCTGAAGTCATCAGTGGCAAATTGGTTCTTTGCTGTGGGTTGGCGGCGCAGGCCTGTGGAGTACGTGCTGAATTATTTGAATAATACTGCACCGCGGCAGTCATTCATCAATGCCACTTTCCCCTCCCCTCTTGCTTGCTCTTTGATAACTGGATGTCTGATGCAGTGTCAGTCGCCTCTTGTATCTGATGCAGAGCGACAGGGTGCATGACTTCACCCAGCATGGGAAGGAGGACTTTCAAATACTCTCCCCAGTCTGCACAGGGTGTTGGAGTAGGGTCGAGAGGAACCTAAACAAATGTACAAACCTGGCTGGGAAAAGTGTACAAGACAAATGGGTGAGGGACTAAAAACTATTCATCAAAACCCCTCAAGCCAAGGAGGGGATCAGAAGTCAGTATGAGCATGAATTGTAGAGAAATGGGGTGGTATCAGAACCAGGGCTCCACTGGGGGACGGCAGGAACAGGGGAACTGGTACTCCAGCAAGCTGGTACTTTCTTGGTGAACTTGACAGATTTGCTGCCAGAGATATGGATGAAAAGCCAGGTATATATAGATTTTGGTTCTCAGAACTGATCCAAGCCTTTAACCTGTGGCTTTTCCATTTGAAAATTGCAGTTCATAATCTGTACCACACTTTCAGCAGGCATGATTAAAAGGAACTTTTATCTGCAAAGTTGTATTGAGAGTTGAATATTGGGTTCTGTGATTTGATTGAAAACTGTCAAGGTCAACATGAGACAAGAGAAACTCACAACAAACAGAGAAGAGATGTTGGTTATATGTTGTTCTTCCCCCGAACTCCCCCTATATACCCAAACATCAGATTTGAGCAAACTAAGGATGAGGGGGATATTCAAAGTAAATTCAGGCATTTGTTTCCTTCCACTCTTCCTTTCCTCCCTCTTTTCCTTCTTCTTAAGTTTTCTTCTCTCTTTCAGGTGCTTTTTTGGGCATGTCCCCTATAGAGCATGAGAGGTTCTTGGGGGATGTAATGTGATACAAAAACAAATGAAACATAGTTTTTATCTTCCAAGATTTCTTAGTCTAGTGAACTTGGGGATTTTTGGTATTAAAGCTTAAGTCTGGAACGTCACACTTGAACTCAAGTGTGTGGCAGACAATATCCAAAACAATATCCAAGAGTTCCAGTATAAGAGGCAAGGGCCAGAAAGCATTATCTGGATTGCGGGGTGTCAGAATCCTAGATGATGAAGGGCATCTGGGTTGACTTGAGGACTTAGAAACAGGTCCATCTCGAGGTAAGTATTAATGGTACTTAGAAGGCACATAGGAGGAGGTGATAACTCGGCTGAGTGAGAGGAGAAAATAAGATCCAGACCTTTATAGACCAGAAACCGTCTCTGTCTCCATGCTCCACTCTGCTATTATGCCAAGAAAACACCCATTGACTATACATGAATGAATAGTTGTGACTATATTTCAATATTTTTTTTAACAAAACAACCTGTAGGCTACATTTCAGTAATTCCTAGGCAAAGACTCAGTGGGTCTCCTGACCATATGTGGGATGAACTGAATGCAGCATGAGTTACATGACACTGCTCCCTCCAGACACACCATGGGAGCCTAACTCACTGATGGGGACACTCTCCCCAGTGTCTGGCTGGGTGGGGTTTTCAGTAAGGCCACCCCAGGCCATGGCTGGAGGAAAACAGGAAGTGAAAAATGAAGCTGAACAGGTCAAGAGTGGTGGCTATGGAGTTTGGACCTGGTGTATGCACATTGAACCTGAAATATGAAGCTGAACGGATGAGCATGAAATTTAGCATCAAATAAACTATAGTCATGTATAGTTTATTTGAAACTTGGAAGAAAATTACATAAGATGGGTTGAATATTGAGTTTTACTTTTTTCCCCCTGGATTAGGAATATAAGCATATATTTCCCACATTTATATGATTTAGGTCTTTTTAGTCAGGACTGCCAGTTTTTTCCTTAACTAACTAAGTACTCATCGAAAACACGTGGTAGATTTTTCACCCTTGTTTTATTAAGGGAACTTGGTCTAAGATATGGAAAGATAGAGGGCCTGGACTGTTTGATTCTGGGTGTCTTTTCTCTGTAAGACTACAACCCTTAAAAAACACACAAGTGTTCAGAAAAGAATCACCTTCATCATAAAACTAACCAAAATGGTAATGTAGAAGAAAGATTAAACTGACTCAGAGTATTCTACACAATGAAGAAAATACTGGTGGTATTTTGTACACTTTCAAATGTACAGAGAGCTAAAGGTGTAGTAGGAGAATGAAACTGTTCCCCAGGACCTTCAAGGATTGATAAAATTTCTCTGTTGCCTCTTTTTCCATCTTATCCTCTACAGTCTTCCTCTTATGTTCTCTGCTTCAACTATCTTTCTTTTGTGAGCAAATTCAGACTCTTCCTTCTTCTAGTTATTCCTTTTTTTTTGCATAGTTGACGTTTTGTCATTTAGGTCATGGATATATTCATATGATAGTTTTTGTGAGGCCTCAGATAACTCAGTTCAAATAGTTTTCCATAACTCAGACTCAGTCACAATTAGATCATTCTCTTTCATCATTTCCAGGACATTTTCTGTTGTTGGTAATGATCTCATTCATTTGCTTACTTTATTATGTACTGTCTTCTCTCTCTTACTATAAGGCAAATTCCACAGGAGCATGGATCTTTGTTTCTTCTCTCATTGACTCTTTCACTCCAGAAAGCCATTGACTCTCAGTGACTCTTCAGAACCTAGAAGAGTCCTTGCTCATAGCAGGTGCTCATTAATGTTTGGGATAGAGTGAAGGGCCCACCTAAACAGAGGTAGAGCGGCCAATAGGGATGATAATCATAAACATGTGGATCACAGTGGTAAATGAGATGAATATTTTCTTGCTTTATTGTTTACATAGTTTACCTCATTTTATAGAAATTATTACTTATGAAGAAGACTCAAATACTGACACAAATTCTGAGAAAAGTTGTCTATCTTCTTCTTTTCTAGTGTAAAAATACAACATACGTATATTTAACTATCCACTGGATAAGCTAATGTTACAACCTGAGGCCAAGAAACCGTGTCCTAAGACTTGGAAGAAGAACATTGCATCTTGTCTTGTTGCCTTTCAGGGTGGATGTCATGACTGTAACCTGTTCTTTAAATATCCCTCTGTAGTATGATGACTTGGAAACTGATGTGGACAAGCTGAGTTCCAAACCTGGGCTTGACCGACCTGAAGAGGAACTCATGCAATATGAGGCAATGTGTCTGGAGCTCTCCTATAGCTTTGAGGTAGGACACAGACTGTGGTTTCTGCTCCTTGGTGATGCATGGAGAGTTCTTTACAGAACCTGGGAGGCCAAGCCAAACAGAGTGTCCAGATGTAAAACATTGCTTATCATAAGCCATTTGCTTCTGGGCTCCTTCTGAGAAAACAGCAGAAGGTTAAGCAAAAATTTGAAAATGGTGGCCAAGGTGGGATGCACGGCCAGTTTCTACAATCTGACATCCTACACCTGGGATGGCAGTAGAGTGAAAGTACACAGTATGACCTATTGGTTAGTGGGCAAGGTATCCTGGCCCCATTTACTGAAATAGCAAGGAACATCCTTGATGATTTAATTGTTCTCTTGCTAAAAAGATGGACTTCTTACGGTGGCCATCCTGATTCCAGACTGGCTTTGTTAATAGAAGCAAATAAGGAACCTTACACCTGGTGATGTCACGCCAGTGCCTAGTTGCTGCCATTGATGTTGCTGCTATCAAGATTTTAAACCTGCTTTTTGATCTCGGTTTTTTATAGTTCTTAATAAATAATGTGTTTGGCCACATCAAAGGGCATAACTAGTTGCATATAGAAGGGAGTTAACATGTTCTGTTTCACTCCAGAAAACCAAAGACTATTGGTGGTGAAAGTTGCAATGAAATAAACTTCAATTCAGTGTAAGGAAGACTTTCTTTTAATAATCAGAATTGTCCTAGAAAAGTGCATTACCTTTGGGGCACGATAAAAGGCTTCACTCTGGGTTTCAATGAGGCCCTATAAATTAAGTCGTTCAACTAGGTTTAAATTTAGTGGGAATTTGGAGAAGACATACATACATTCATGTAGAATTGTACTAAATCCACCAAAATTCCTTCCCAAACATGAGTTTGTATGATTCTACCATTTTTTTTGACTCTTGAATGTTAATCTTCCCTTGGCTGATGCTAGAAAAAGCTTCCCAATTCACATTTATGCTTAGCTCTGTGCCCAGAGAGTGAGGATAGGGATCAAAGTGTATTCTCTACTTGCAAAGAAACACTGACATATTCTTTTCCACTCTCAACCCCAAGGAACTAGAGCCCAAATTTGGAGATGATGCAAACTTTGAAGACTCTCAGAACACAAATCACCACCACATTCCCACTGCTGCCTCCCCAAAGCAGCACTGCTTGAAGAAGGACCAAACCTCCTGGGGGCAAGAAAAAGAAGACACAGTCCAGACTTCTCTCCTGAGCATGGTGAAGATGGGAAGGTCCTCCAAGAAAAGACCCATAAAGAACATATACCACAATGTGCAATCCAATGGTCTTGGCATAGATTCTCTTGGAAATGATATCCCTGACATTCAGACTTCCCCAAAAGAAGATGATTGGGACATAGAAGCTATTTCTTGCCCAAGGATGAGTGCCTCCTTTTCTAATTCCTCTAGTCCTAGAGAAGCTGGTGAAGCAATAGATAAGCTTCTGCACCTACATCCCAAGCATATCCCTTTCCACGATCCCTGCCTTTATATGGCCAAAGCCAGAAGAACCAGGTCTGTGGTGGACTTCAAGATGGTGGCATTTCCTGATCTCTGGGGGCACTGTCCACCTCCCTCTGCCCAGTCCATGTTGGAACGCAAATGTGGAGTCCAGAGGTAATGGTGCTACTGACTTGGGATCTGTACTTTTCTCTTCTTTAATATTTTTACAGGTGGAATCATTTGTACAGATAGTTCTGCAATAGAAAAGTAAGCATTAGTCAAGAACATTTTGAAGCCCTTTGGGAAACTTTTACCACCATAAATGCTTGTTTCCCTACTAGGGCATTGCAGAGTCGAGGATGGAGAAGTGGTAGGCTTGTGTTTCTTTCTTTTTTTTTTTTTTTAAAGAGAGAGTGAGAGAGGAGAGACAGTGAGAGAGAGAATTTTTAATATTTATTTTTTAGTTCTTGGCGGACACAACATCTTTGTTGGTATGTGGTGCTGAGGATCGAACCCGGGCCGCACGCATGCCAGGCGAGCGCGCTACCGCTTGAGCCACATCCCCAGCCCCAGGCTTGTGTTTCCTGACCAAAAAATTCCTTGGATGATTCTAATATAGCCCCTTGCCCATACTCATTGTAAACCACGAAACAGGGGAAGGTCATCTAGTTTCTCCAAATACTGGAATCTTTTCTAAAGGGAATGTTTAAATGTTTTATATTTATTGAATACTAGGGGAAAAAACCTGATTATTGGTAGTGTTTTGCTTGTTTACTGAACATTGGAATCTGACTTCTTGCTAATAGAAAGGTGGTATATTGCCATCCCATGGCCCCAATGTTACACACCCTGGCTTGGTTTGAAGAATGAGTTTGCTGCATCTTTGAGGAGGGAATGGGACAGAAAACCCATACCCTTCGGGGCAGAACAATGAGTGATAGATTATTCCCAGAATGTAGGAGAGCTAGGTCTTTGGTTTGGCATAGTGAGATTAAAATAAAAACCAATAAAAATGAGGAAAAAATATTTTCCTTGAAAAAAAGAATGTGTATCTACTAAGCCAAAGTATACAGATCAGAAAGTTTTATTTCCAGCAAATGATTCTCTTGATGGTGATTCCCACATGGGTTCTTGATTGAATTCTCTGACCTCATCCCTAGGACATTATGTGCCATGCTCACCTTCCTGAGAAACTCATGTCAGAGGCTGTTTTGCACAATATTATCCCTGCACAGATCATCTCCCCTCTCAGTCCAGCCTTTATTTCCAGTCCTTCCTCACTCTTTGTTCATCTCACGTCAATGAACTGGATTGGAAATGTAAGAAAGGAACTCAAAGTCCTCCTGAGCTTCTTTCCTTTCTCTTACTTAAATTTTCCCAATATTCTTTCTCAGACAGGAGACTGACCTCAGCCTGCTGGAGCACACAGAGCCCAATGAATTTACATGGCAGAAAAATACAGAAGCCATCCGAGTTTTATAAACCTCCATCATGAAAATAGTCAATATGCCTGATGTTTCCCTCAAAACTGCCTCAATGCAAAGGAATCCCTTATGTATATAGTCAGAAAAGTTAAAGTACACTAGCCCACATGCTCTTCCCAAAACTCTCCAAACAAGAATCCCCTCACTGAAATCTAACATCTTTGTTATTTCTAGTCCTACGGTTTGTTATAGAATAATTCAAACTATACTGCTCATAATTTAATTTTTAATAAAGAAGAGAAGAAGGTATGGCAGTTTTGTTTGTATCTTTTGAGCCCAAGATTAGGGCATCGTTAAACTCTTATATGTCTCGAAAGACCCCCAGGGCTCTTCCCAGGGGACCTTAGGGAAGTTGGGTAGAGAATGAGGGTCAACACTTAAAATGTTTCCAATTTTCCTTTCTAGGATCAAGATATTTGAGGATGTCCGAAGGTTCATCCAGCCAAATGATATTATAAATAAAGTTATCTTTAGTTTAGATGAGCCTTGGTAAGTGGTCTTATATATTTATGGAATAGTAGGTATGGAGAATTCTGTTAGACTGCATGAAGACAGTAGTTTTTCATGTTAATAATCCATTCCTACTCCTAAAAACATCATGGTGACTAATCAGGTTAAATATCTGTAAGAGAAACCTTATCTTTAAGAAGGTGTCTAAATGTGTCCAAGAACGACAATAAGAAAGTTCACAGGTTCTCTATTTCATTACAGGCCTTTGCAAGACACAGCTTCCAGTTGCCTAAGGTTCTTCTCCAAGTTTGAGTCAGGAAACCTTCGAAAAGCCATCCAAGTGCGTGAGTAAGTAGGGAAGACCACAGGGGTTGTTCTTGGCAGGCCGGGAGAGTAGGCTGTAATTATCTCTTGACCGTTCTGCGTTCAGTGACCTCACATTGATGGCTTGAAATCAGCCATGGTGAGAATGTCTACCCCATGAAAACTGGAAAATACTATACATGAAGGTTTTTCCTCTCTGATTCAGTTGTTAAACATTTACCAGCATGCCTCCAGAGATCTCACAGGCTAATGTCACAGCAAAGTGAACTTTTTAGTAGAAGAATAAACATGTCTTAGTCCAGATAGTAGGTCCACATTTGGCTGTGAGAGCACTTTGACTGGGACACTTATCGGGTCCTGTTGACATAGAAAGGTATGAAGTGTTCCCTCTTCCTACACCACTCCAAGTCTGTTGATGTGCCACAGCTGTGTATTTAGGTGGCAGCAATTATGGACTGTCCATCTTTCATTCAAGCAAATGCACAGTACATGTGTCTCTGGAAAAACCTGATGAGCTGTTATTAATAGAAAAGGATTCCATAGATAAGGAAATATAAGGGATAGATAAACTGAAAGGAAGGACATAATCTTTTTCATTGGTTGAAGAGATGGTTGTTCTCATGAAATTACCTATCGTTCTTTGTTCTATAGAAGGGTGGACCATATTTTCCGTATGCCAAAAGGCAAGATATATAATCTGTCTTCTGTGGGTGAACTTCTGAAAACCACAGTCCAGGCAGTGAATGGTATAGTGGCCACAGATGTTGTCATGAGGAGCACAGGGCACTGCAATCCCTTTCCAACAGGTGCCTTTGAGCAAGTTGCCCAACTAACTCCAAACATTCATTTTCCCTCCCACAAAATGAGGACAATAATAATACCTACCTCATATGTGGTTCACGAGAGTTAAATACTATACATAAATCTCTTAGGATAGTGCCTAGCACATGGTAAGCACTCATTCAGCATAAGCTCTTATTCAGGGATGCATGTTCACCGTGACTAGAACTTAGGGTAGCTAAGACCTGCTTTATATGCAATTAAGGAATTATTTTTGAAGCTGTTCTTTTGGGGATGAGATGAAAGGTGATTTCGTTTTTGGATTTTGCACATGAGTTATTTCCAGCTCAATATTTAAGACAGAGACAAATTGAGCTACTTGGGCTATAAGGGGGAAGGGACAGTCATGTCCAGACTGCTGTTCAGTCTACTTCTGGTTCTGTTGTCAGCTCAGCTTCTACTTCTTCCTAAGGCTCCTATTTTCTTATTCCTTCTCTCTAAATTCATGTTCAGAGAATCCCAGAGATAATATCTGATTAGCAATCTCCTGGTTAGACAGTTTTCAGTCTAGTTTGTTTGGGAACAGCTGGCTAGGCTCAGGTCTTTCTCATTACATCTGCTTTTGACCAGATAGTAGTAGACTCCTAAACTCAGTCATGCCCAAGGTAATGGAGACAAATGACGGAAAACAAACTACTTACTGGAAAAAATTTTTCTGATCACTTTTTAGAGAAAGAACTATGGGAATAGTGCATAACTTAAGGGTTGTGACTTTACAGAATTGTCCTTGTGAGTGCTACTCAGTGAGTTTGCTTTATTCATTGCCTAGTGAGCTAAATAGTTAGAGCATGGTCTTTACAAGTACTCCATGAGGGGTGGGATTTCATCAGTTAGCTCTACTCTGCATTCACATGTCTTATACCAAGCTTTGCACTTCCACAAAACTCATGATATAATGTTATTTATTAGGGATCCAGAGTGGGAACATATGCATGGGTTAGGGCAAAAATATTTTCCCATTTTATAACAACAACTCAAAAAGTACCAAGAGGATGGGACAATAATATTCCTGAAAATGAAATTTCCTAGAAATAATGTTTTAGTCAAAACAGCAAATTCTGTAGTTAGAGCTCAGAAAATTAATTACCTCTGGAAACACAGCAACTGAGAGGGGACAGACAAGAGCTCCTGGAGTACTGGAATTGTCCTATATCTGTATAATTGTCTATATCTGGCAACACAGGTGCATCCAGATGCAAATAAATCCATTGAGCTATTCATTTAAGATTTGTGCACTTCACTGCATGTAAGTTATATCTCAATTAAAATGAAAAAATGTACAAACAACCTCTGTTATGCTCATCTAATTCATGTTTTTAGCTCTGTGAGGGGATTTGTATCCATTATACTATTAAAACTTTATAAACAGCACTCTGAGTTTAGACGCTTTCCATTCTCCATATAAGGAAACTGAGACTCAAAATTAATGTCTATAACCTCACATAGTCTTGGCATATCCAAAGCAGATGTTACTGAATTTTCCTGAGAAAAATTGCATTTTCCTAGTTGAACAGAAACTTCACTATAGTTTAGTGAAAAGACGTGCTACAGTTCTGTCAGTGATTCTTCTTATGGATTCTGAGATCTGTAACCCAGAACTTGAGACACATAGATTCTCATTTACCTTAAAGATGTTCCAAATAACCCTTCAGTCTTGCTTCTGACTCTGTAGGTTTGAGTATGACTTGCTGATCAATGCTGATGTGAACAGCTGCCAGCACCAGCAATGGTTCTATTTCAAGGTGAGCGGTATGAGAGCCAACACCCCTTACCGATTCAACATCATCAACTGTGAGAAGCCCAACAGCCAGTTTAATTATGGTATGGACCCTTGGGGATTAGAGGTTTTCTTGATAGTATCATGAATTTCTTGACTTTTAAATTATCAAAAGACCTGTGTGCATTACCAGAGGGTTTGAAGTTGGTCTGACACACTTTGGTTGCCTGTGTGGCAACGGAGTGGCCAACCAATGGCACACTGCTAATATGGAGGAATTTCTGGAATCCTCACTCTGACATGGAATGTTAATAGTGCATGAAACAACCAACTATGTTCTGATTCCCTTGCTCTACCTTGAACATTGTTGTTGTTGTTGTTGTTGTTGTTATTATTATTATTTATTTATTTTATTTTTATTTTTTGCATGTGGGGATGGTTGGTGGGAATGAGTTTGGGGGTATGTGTGTTAATGCTAAGGACTGAATCCAGGGCCTCACATGAGCCAGGCAAGAACTCCATCTCTGATTTATATGAGCTACATCCCCAGCACCTGACCTTGTGCTTTTGAGATTGGTGAATATTCTCATTTACTCCTATCTTCAAAAATCCCACAGGAGCAAACGTTCTAATCTATATGTCACAACATGAGAATATCAAAATGCAATTGGGCAACACCGTTTTACCCTCTCAGAAAACTCTGAAAAAAAGCTTGAATTCTCTTGACTACCTGTGGTTTATTTTGCAAAGAACATTCAAGAGACAAGATTAAACAATAACTCTTGCTTATTTCGAATATTTCTAGGAATAGGAAATTCTCGTGTTGGCGCTAACTCATATACTACTTTATTGGGTAGATTTGAATAAGGAATAAATATTCCCACATATCTAGCTACAAGCATGAGATCCTGCCTCTGTTTTGTGAGGACTAAATAGACTCTCATTGCTGTAGAAAGAAAATATGAACTTTAACTCTTGTATTTGCTTTGTGTGGATACTATAATAAATTTGTGCTTCAAAATAAGACAAATTTATTCTCTTGCAATGCTGGTATCCTTAAGTCCAAATCAATTTTCAATTGGGATAAAGGGCATGTCAGTGGGGGCTGTGTTCTCTTTGGAGATGCTACGGGAGAATCCCTTTACTTTTCTACCTTCTGCAGATAAATTCCTTGCATTCCTTGGTGCATGGCCCCTTCTTGAGACCAGCAACAGTGCACCTTCAAATCTCTCTCTGCTTTAGTCATGTTGCTTCTCTTCTTTAGTCAAAACTTCCTTTGCCTTCCTCTCACAAGAGCAGCTGTGATTGCACATAGGGCCACCAGGACAATCTTCCCTTCTCAAGACCCCAAACTTAGTCAGACTGGCAAGGTCTCTTTCTTTGGTCATACATTGATTAACATTCACAGTGTCAAGGAATTAAGATCTGGATATCCTTGGGGGCCATTTTTCAACCTTCTACAACTCACTTTCCTTTTTTTTTTTTTTAATCTTTTAAAATCTCCTCTCCCACTTTCCCTCATGGATTAAATTCTGGTTTTATTTTACAAAGGGATGCAGCCAACTCTGTACTCTGTGAAGGAGGCTCTTCTTGGCAGACCCAGCTGGATACGGACAGGCAATGAGATCTGTTATTACAAGTAAGTGAGAGGCTTGAGAAAGTTGTTAACTTCCTTTTCTCTGTCACTCCCTCTTAATTTCTTGCTTTTCCATATTCGTATTATAAGCATCAGTCATCTGTGCTTGTCTGTCATACTTTTTCCTCTGTCCCAATGGCAAATGCCCTGTCTTTTAGAGATAGAAGCTTGTGAAACAGCACTCATAGTAGACAACAAGAAACATATTTAGATTTGCTGAAAAATGGTTTCTCTTCATTTATGTACATTAATACTTCATTTATGCACATCTAACTTTTGTTGTTAGACATTAAGAGTTGTACAGATTTTATCTGTAATTAGTACATGAGACATTAATTCTTTATTCATTTTCACTGGGCCCAGTGAAAAAAAAGTCTGAAAACCTCTGACATTTTCTTTTCCACCTGTGCTTCACTTTCCAAAGTATTGGGGAGTGAGTATGTGGCAGACACACTTAAGTAACTCCTCTTCCATAGCAAGATAGTTTTTGAGTAAAAGATAATAATAAAAGAGGGAAGGGCTACAATATTCATCTTCAGACTTTGATCAGTAGTCAGTTGTATCAATGTATCCTGCAAAGTTGTAATGAAATTTAAATTGTCCCTATTTCTTCTTTTTGATGAAAGAAATGGATTCCAGACCCATGAATTGATTATGGGTGCATTTTTTAGATGGAAAATAAAATTGAAGTACATTAAGAAAAAAGTAAAAGGATAGGAATTATTAGGACAGGTAGAATATACATACTTCCTTATTAGCTCCTTGCCAGGGTTTTATAAAAAATGATAGGTTAGTTCTTATTTTCATGGATAAAGTACGTCTTATCTTTAAGATAATAAGAGAACCAGTGGGTGGGAGGACTATTACCAGACATTCTAGAGTTTAGGATTGTTATCACTGCCAATATCAAGGAGGGTATGTACACTGAATGCTTCTTGGCTTTTGAGACTGTAAGGACTGTATTGATAGATAGGAAAGGTCAAGAATCTTGTTGCTCTGTTAGATAAAGGCAGAAATCACCCCAGAGATAATGACAGTCTACAAAACATAGCTGGGCTGACTAACAGTCTGTAATATAAGAGTTGGCAGTGTTCAGTCCTTGATATATGAAGACATGAATCCAAATAGCTTTTTCATATATTCTTGAGAAGGAATCAAAATATTAGAACTTTGTTGGATTTCCATCCACCTAAATGGCAATCACTCTCTGGCCCTCTTACCTTAAGACTCTCGGGAATTTCTTTTTGTTCCAAAGAGAATTAGGCTAAAATTTGTCTAGGTTGTAGCATTCACAATTATAGAGAAAAATATGGAAACCTAAATTTGGACCTTTGTGTGCCAAGAATAACATTTGGTTTCTTCTGAAATTAGTTACCATGAGTAAATTTGAAAGGCCCAATTTAAAAGTTGGCCCGGACCTGGAACTTATTAAGAGATTAGACAAATATCATTTTGTGTCCTCTCTCCATGGGAGAAAGCTCTCCCTGGAGGATGCTTCTCTTGGAATTGGGGAGCAACCTCAAGGGGACCAGGTGTGGGTGAAGAGAAGGAAGAAGCCACACATCCCAAAGCACATCCCTAGCCTAAAGGAAGCCAGTGTTAATAGCGTCTAGATTCATTAACAAGACAATTGTTGTGTGATTAAAGAGCAATAGAGGGGTAAGATGAAAACCGTGCATGTATAATGTAATTCATTTTTCACATTCCAGCCATGAATACAAGGGAGATGAATGGATAAGATTGTCACATTGCAATGTAGTTTGTTTTACAATTATTCATCACATTATGTTAACATATTTCCAATAATGTGATGTAACAACAGGATAGATACATGTAATCTCTGTTCACCCACAAATCAGAACACTTTCTCTATTATAAAATGTCTTTTATAAAGCAATATCTTTCTCCTTACTTGGGCCTCACAATCTTTGAGTTGATTTGCTTTAGAGGATTTGTTTGCTTCATTCCTGCCTTTATTCTCTGTGATTTATCAGTTTGGTATAACTTTAGCTCCTTATTTCTTTATGTCCTATCTGGTAGTAGAGGCTCAGAAGTTCTATTGCTAACATGCTATTAAATTCCCAGACAGAGTGCTATGTTTTAAGTGGGTGCCAGGGTATTCATTGTGGGGAGAAATGTGAGCCATAGAGGAGGAGTATCTTTTCCACCCTATTTTTTATTAGTGCATTATACTTGTACATAGTGGTGGGATTTATTGTTACATATTCATAAATACACACAATAGAACAGTAAAATTTGGCCAATATCATTCCGCAGTATTTTCTCCTTCTCTTTTCTTTTCCCTCCCCTGGTCCCTTTCCTCTACTCTACTGGCCTCCCTTAGATTTTCATGAGATGCCCCCACCCCACCTTTCTTTTCCTTTTTTCCTCTGAATGCAATGATGAGCAATTGTGAAGGCGGACTGACTACTTTGTGGGACCGATTGCCATCCATTAGAAATAATCTCCAAATTATTTTGGCTGTGTATCTAAATCAGTAATATATGGTTATGCATGTACTTACTAATATAGATTTGTTCCTAAATTATTTTAAAATAAATGATACATGCATTACTAGACTAATATATATTGTACATTGGAACATGTGCAAAAAGTGAAGAATTTTTAATGAGAAAATGATGAAACAAATTAGACTTTTTGTTATATATTTATACTATTGAAAGCTCAGTGTACACTGAGCTTTCAATAGTGAAATTCACCATCTTGGTGAAATTCACCATCTCACACACACACAAGTGTAAAAAGTATGTAGGAAAATAAAGGGAAAAATACAGTAGAAAGTAGCCTTTTGGATAATTTTGAAAATTTTGACTAATGTTCCAGATCTAATTAGATTATCTTTCCCACATGAACTGTATTGAGGATAGGGTGTTGGCATTGGGCCTTCTGCTGTTTTCTTGATCATTTATGATTGCAATTTAGCACAGTTATTGACTGATGGCTTCTAAGCAGAATGTTAAAAAAATATTTTCTGTTTTGAGAGGTTTAGCTTAATTTAGATAATATGATCTGTAAATCTATCAAAATATGCTTCCATAAACTTAAATATCTTCCCAGAAGCCAAAAGCAAAACAATGAGGAGGGGCAAATTATTCCTGCTCCTCCCTTGGGAGACTGCCTGTGCAGCCACTGATACTGAACTACCTGGCACATGGAAATAGTTGGTGTAGAATTTAATGTACTTTTCATAATCCATGCCTGGAACACCACAGGGATGGGTGGATGAGATTGCTCATTATCTAGTTTGTTTTGTAATTATTCATCACATAAGGTTGAAGAGGACTGCCTAAGGGCAGTCATGTAAATCCACATATTAAATGTGAGACAATTTAATTTCTTTCTTATTACCTAGATAATTGTAAATTTAAGAAGAAATGCTAATTTTTTTTCGCATGTGCAGTTGATCATCCTGCCCTCCCCTGCAGCACCTCCTACCCCTTCTATCATACCCATGTGTTTCATCCCCTCTGAAGACTACTCAGCTAGAAAATAAAAAGGGCCCTCAAGATGAAAGAACATAAATGGCCAGACTCATTTTTCCATACTGCTCATAAAAATAAGTAAGGACAGTTTTAGTTTCTGCTTTATTTACTTTCACATAGCCTGCTTCTCCCTCTCCTGTACACAGCCTCACACCTTTTCCGATTCTCTCCCAGCTCTGGTCTACAGTAATTTTGGTGCTGAAGGGCAGCGGGAGGGAAGCTACACGCTCTGAGTGGCCCTGTAATACACAGCGGCTGATCTCTTCTGACATTTATCTCCGCTCGTGAGAGGAGATGGAACAGCTCACTCATGAAGATGAATGTCATACAAGAGCTCTGCCATCATGCATCCTTCCGAGGCATCTCAGGAGAGAGATTTGGTGCTATATAGAATATTAGAGACGCTGCAGACATGGAGAAGCCTGGAGACTTGGTTGCTCTGCCTTATTAGATCCTGTTAAGTGAAATGATGCACTCTTGTTAAACAGGGCCATCATCATTGTAAGATCATCTAATTCACTCTCTGCCTTGGAATTTGCTAATATTCATGCACATGCAGAAAAAATAAATGACTTCCCAGCATTTTTAAAGTACAAATGGAAATAGATATAAGTTCATAACTATGCATTTGTGTACTCTGCTCCTGGATTCGTTGAAGGCTTTATGATTACAAAAGTACAGATCCTTCCAAAGATACATGATATAGGGAAGGGACAAAAAGGGGGGGCCTTGTAACTGTGGAGCACTTGAATCTGTCTAGCCCAGATCACCTTTGACCTACGACCGCCTATCTAAGATCCAGTGAATGCAGAATCTGAGAGCCGTCCTGATTTTGCCAGGCTCCTTTAACACCTGGAAGAGTAGATTGACCAGAGAAGTTTCTTGGAATTGAATTTCCAACCTCTCATTAATGGAGTGATCTTAGGCAAATTATCTTGACTTCTCTCAACTTTAGATTCATTGTCTATGAGAATTCGATAATAAGGACAAATATGGAGCCATTCTGAACATGTAGAAAACTTAGAAAAATAGGTATTCAATGAATGTTAACAACTATTATTAATAATTAGTAGAAAGATTGTGGCATCAAGCACCAATGATAGAAAAAAAATCATAGTATATGGATCCTTTTTACTATTTCTCATCTGAATTATTTTACATTCTGACTGTTATTTTAGACTCTAAATTAATAGGCCTGATTTATAAAGATAGAAACTTCAAATTTTTTACTTGCTGAATTGGGCCAAAAGACTACTCAGCCTTTTATCCATTACTAAGAGGTAGATGATATACATGAAAAAACTCTTAGTTTCAGATTTAAGCCCACACTTGAAATTGAATCCTGTTTACTGTACTTGTGTGGAATCACACCTGTCATTTAACATCTGTAAGCCTCAAGGTTCCCATCTGTAGAATGTGCATAATAATGTCGTTAAGATTAAGAGATAAAATATGTGTTAAGCATTCTAATTATTACTTCCTGAGTAATCTATTCTACAAACTTCAACAGCTTCTGTGCCCAGGAATGAGGCACAAAGGCCGGATATAAGGATACATAGCCTCATCCCTGCTATGAAGCATGGGCAGCAGGGAAGACAACAGTGTGATGAGAGCTCTGTGAGGGGACTGTCAGGGAAGGCTTCCCACTGGAGGAGACTTTGAGTCCTGAAGGAAGGACAGGGGTCAGCTGATGAAGAAGTGAGAAAAAGCTTCCCATGCAGAAGAACATGGAAAATATCACAAATATGCAGGATAGACGTTCCTGCCGCCTTGCAAACATCCCCCAATAGGTTCACTTCATAATCGAGAAAACAAAAATAGGTCATGGGTGGGATCTCACTCTATCATGGACAAATTGAATTGTCACAAGCCAAATGCCTCACGGTAAAGATTTATCAGACATTTCCCATTAGAGGAGGTCTTGGGAAAGGTCAAAGGTCTCTGAAGAAAGTTTTACTGGAGATAGATTCAACTTCTGGATGTTCCTTTTACAGTGTGGCCACCAGGGGACTCCAATGGGAAGTCTGACATTTGCTTTAGGTTCAGCCAGAGTTTAGATCCCAGACTAAGGTTGTAACTGAATCTACTTTAGCCAAGATTCATGCTAAATGAAGTGATATCCAGTTTTCTTAAATTCCAACAGTGTGTACCCCCTCCTGGGGAAGGGTGGCTTGTCAGTGGTGAGCTAACACCAGCAAGCTACAGGGGGTAACACCTTAGGTGTGCATGTGATGCTGCTGTGAGAAGCAGATTTCATGTAGTCAAAACTACCATTTGAATTCCCTCCCTGCAGTCACTAGAACCAAGGAAACCCATGAGCTGAGAATTAGCCCATGTTATTTTTCTTTCCACTCCACTGTAGCTGTTCTTTGTTTGGAGTCCCGGTTTGTTCTGGATGAGGGAGAGTGCATTGGGATAAATACAGAGATTTCATTGACTTGTCTACTCTCACTCCCTTTCTTCTATGGCTGAGTAGGGGTAGGGTTGAGTTAGCATAGGGTAAAAGTGCTTGTGATGTGACTTCAGCATACTTAATAGTGGGTAAACGTAAAAAGAAGCAAGGCCCATGCCAAAGAAGACCATCCTACTGGTCCTTAGGGGCATCTGTTATTTTTGAGTCAAGATGCAGAACCTGTTTTTACTTTTTGTAGGTAAATAACATGGGAACAGTGATGCACTGGTTAGGTGTTTCCCCCGTCTTAATATCCATGAATGTATGTGTGTGTGCTTGTGTGTGTGGGTACTCACTTGTGTGTGCTTACAGGTGAAACATTCTTCCATGCTTTGGTTGGTTGTGCCTGGCTCATTCATTCCATCGGCTCTTCCATTGCAAGGAGCTGTAACTGGCTGGTCCCTGCTGTTTAATTAGGTATCAACTGAGTTTTGTGTCTTTGCAATGGAGCCTTTACAGGTGAAGTCAGAAAGCAAATGAAAGAGAGCACATGTGCCTTGTATGTGTGTTAACTGTCATCTGCTTCTTTACATACCTTCTAATTACCACTGTGTTAGCTTTGGGAGACACTTCAGACCTTTGAGAAAATGTGACAAAAGTAGACTCCATGATATATCAAAATTTAGATAACACCATGGGAAAAGATACCCTTTTGCAGTTCCATTTCTGAAAGCACAAAGGAAATGGGTTCTGTTAACCTGATGCTGAAAAGCTGGGTAGATAGTCATTTAGGGTTTGAGTTGTTATGGAGTACCCTCTTTTTCTTAGAATGACCAAGGCTCCAGGCTGCCATGTTGACAGAATTTGAAGCAAGTGAAATGTATTATGTTATATTTGGTGGGATCACTAGGTTCTCTTACTCCTATTCCTAGTTTTATATAAACTGGAAAACCACAAAACCACAAGAAATAAGATATTTTTCTATTAGTTGCTTTCTTACATGTTTTCTTTTTGCTTTCATGGGGACTAGCATGAAGATTGCAAAAAAAGCAGAAAATAGTAACCTATATTTTATATTTTGCAAGAACACATAGGAATAATCATCTACTATTTCTTCCCTCATCCTTTTTATTTTTCCCCCTAAACCGGAAAACCCATGGTAGTTCAGGAAGCCAATGTTGTATGTGTTCAAAGGTGGGATTACATCTTTTGGTGTCCAGTGCATTTTGCATTGTAAGGTAGCCTTGATGATAACATTTCTCAGGAAAACCTGCACAGCCGTCTCAATATCAACAGGCAAGATGAGAGCATAACTGGCAGTGTGCGGTGAAAATATTGCTGGGAATGTACTTCTGGGTGCAATTTACTTTGATACTGTTCTCTGAAATATCAAAATTGGTTCTTCATCTTTGACAAAGGAAAATGTGCATTCTCAAGCTTTAAGAAGCTGAACCACATTTGGGGTGACAAATATATTCCTTTGGGAAGAAAGTATTAAATAGTGGAAAGAACAAAGTCTTTCCAGCCAGAAAAATCTAGGCTCAAGTCTTGTATTGATCATTGACTTGCCTTGAGACCTTATTTTTCTCTATAGTTTCATTTCCTCATCCACTCAATAGGTTATTGCAATAATAACAGAAAATGAGATATGTTAAAAGTTGAGTTGGAACTCAATACGTAGTAGTGATTGCTAATAAATTGATTTGGGAGGTGGAGGCAAAAGGAAGGAGCTTCACCTTATGTTATCTGAAGACAGATTGGGGGACCCAAATTTGGGTAATGAAGTGTGTGTTCGCAGTAGAATACCAGAAAGCACAGAAGTATTTACATTTATCTCTATTTTCTAGCTCAGTGACTTGATAGCCTTCATTTTCAGACACAGCAGGAAAGGCTCATGGCATATATACCACAATTGCGGGGGCAGATGGCCAGGTTTCTGTATTGCTGAGCTGATTCATGACCTGACAGTGAGTCTCTTGCCCATTTCTCTGTTTTCTAAATTTCACCCACAAACACATTTTGAGTGAAGTTCATTTTGCCACGTATAATGCCTGAGTTTATAGCATCTAGGACCCTAGGTGACTTCTCCCAATCTCTCCCTCATTTTCTTCTCTTCTCCTCTTTCTTTAGAAACCATTATCGCCAGAGGGCAGCTGCCACCGGTGGGACATCTGGGAAGTGCTATTATACCCTCACCTTTGTGGTCACCTTCCCACATGATGAGGATGTCTGCTACCTGGCCTACCACTATCCCTACACCTACTCAGCCCTCATGGTAACTTCTGCTTATGTTACCCCAGCAGGGCTGAAGGGGCTTTCTGAAGTTTTCCTGAGAACATTCTGGAGACCCTGGCTGGCATTCTGGGTGGTTAGGGGGAGGGGGACTATTGCCTTCTGAGAGGAGCCAGGTTTTATCCTCACTGACCTCGTGGCTTTCTATGTGCCCCATCTCCTTCCCTGGAGAGGGCATGAGGCTGAGCCATGACCAGTAATATTCGGATAGCCCAGGAGGTGGGCAGATTGAGTGTGGGAGATGGGGGCATTTCTCAGGGCTCCTGACTTTTAAAAGTCCTTGAGTTAAGCATGAAGTAGTCAGATTGCCATTGACTTGGGATGAAACCACACAAGGAAGCTGAGATGCAAATCTAAAGCACTCCTCCTTGAAGGGAATGGAGAATCAGGCAGGGAGATGGTACTGGAGAACTCCCAGAGTGGCTCTTATGGTTATGGACTAAAGGGTGCTGGAAGGATCAGGGCAGAATGGGAAGAGTGGGAGAACAGAACACTGAATCACTGGCTATGGTCTTTTTAGGAGGGGAGTGTAGCAGAAGTGAGTCCAGACCAATGCAGAATTCCTGTGTGTTCTCTGTCCCTACAGAAAATCTTATGAGACAATTTTGAGTGAACGGACTACTTAGAACATGAGGTTTTCTATCATTTGAAAAAGTTGGCAAACTATGACTTTTCCCCACCTATTTCATGGAAATCCTGAGGATTAATGAGCTTCAGTATCTTCTCCAAAGTATTTTCATCCTCTGTGTTCAAGCAAAATGTTATTAGCCTATTTATAATAATATGCGTGCCTATGAGTGTACATATCATTTAGCCTAAAGGATGAGCATTTTCATTTTAAGACTGTCATAAGGAATTGGAAAAGATAATAACCACAAAAACCTTTCCCTTCAAAAGGAATGTTCAGGTATAAATGGAAAATTTTCTCATCGAACAGGCGCATCTTACACCACTTGGCTACCCACTTCACAAAAGTGCATCTGTCCTTCTCTCCATATGTCGTCTTGCCTAAAGAAAGATTTTTACTGTTTTCCAGATTGCAAAAGATACACAACTAGTATTATTTGTGTATCACACTTAGAGAACTCAAGAAGTGAATCCAAGAAATGTGCATCACAAGCTATGCTGAAACAAGCCATGTTTGTTATAAAACATGTTTGTTGCCTTTAGGGACAGAGAACAGGCAGGATTCATGAGCTGATTTTATGGTCTCACTTGTGAAATGCTGTGCATGAAATGTCTACTGGGGATGGGGATTCTTTTTTCTGAATGTTAAATTACTTTTTTCTCCACAGTTTTTATTGGTGCATTATAATTATACATAATGGAGGGATTTGTTGTTACATATTCATTTGTGCACACAATATAATAATACAATTTGGCCAATATTGTTCCTTAGCATAAGGGAATTCTTTTTGAGTATGTGTTTGCCTTTCCAATTAGAGGAAGAGACTGCAGGTCTGGGACACTGTGCTTTCCACGTTTTAGAATATCTTAGGCCCTGCTGAGATTCTTGCAGGCAGTATAAAACATTAGAATTCAAAGGGGTTTGGGAAGTTGTCTAATTTACCCTTAACATTCATAGATGCAAAAACCAAAGTCTGGGAGTCGAGTCCTTCATCTGGCTAACTGCCAAGCAGGGCATAGAACACTGATCTTTGATGTCAATTCCTGTGGCCTTTCTACTTCACTGTAGAAGAAATGTTGAATAAGTTCAGAAGAATTTCTGTTCGGGGATTAGCTCAATGTCCTTGCTACCACATACCATAGTTACTAAAAAATGCAGTCTAGTTGTGTAGGTCTGTGTGAAGATACAGACATCTCTGATGGAAGCATTGAAGTCTTTGATCCATGCTTTTTTGTCTGTGTTGCTGAGTGCTGTGGATGTGGATGAGTCGAAGGAGAATGTTTCTTGACAAATATGGTCCAGCTCTTATCCCAGGATGCTCTGATGGACTCTTGCTAAGTTCCTACAAGTTGGTTCAAAATCTGTAACTCTTCCAATCAGGCTTCCACCACACTTGGGTGCCCACTTACTCTCTGGAGACTGTGTCAGTATCTAAAGTTTACAACTGACATGATTTAGGAAACATTAGGGTGAATGGGGGGACCAATTTCATCTTGGAGGGAGAAAAAACACAAGGAAACACAAGAAAAAGACACACACACAAAGTGGACCTTCTCTGTCCACTTAGAGGGGAAGAGAGGCTTTGTTCCTTGGTCTTTGTTGACTTGTTACCTAGCATACTGACTGTGGACATTTCAGGAGAGTTAGTGAGAAAGACAAGAAAGGGAATCATTTCTAACTTCTCCTAAGTGAGTGAAACAAGGTTAGAAAGACAATTTGTCACTTGAAAGTGAAAAATATATATTCTCAATTTTAGGTTTTACCTTTCCAGTAACTCATGGTCTTTGTCTTCTCTGGATTTAAGATAATAATTGACTCTGTGACTTCTCTTTAAAAAAATTCACCCTACTACCACCAACAGAATAAGTACATTCTGCAATGTACACTAGTCATTTATTTTTTGGACATGTCCTAAGAAGAAACAGTTTTTATTCCAATGGATCAGTAATAAATTAAATGTGACTAGTACCCCAAGGGCAGAATTAACTGTATGTCACTCGAGGGTTATGCTGAAGAGGGAAAAACATATTTCCATGTGGAATTCACAATTTGTAAATCTCTTCTAGTGTGAATTATGCTTAATAATTACAGCCATTTTTAGAGCAGAGGACCTGTATGTTGGGTGTTTGTCACCATGAATACTGTTTTGAAACTTTAAAAATTTTATTATTCTTTTAACATAAGAGAATTAGTATTTTGTTCTTTCAAATTGATCCAGATGCTTGCCAGTAGTTCTGTTGGGTAGTTGTCCAAATGGTAGCAGTAAAGTAAATCTAAAAGAAATACATTATTATTATAATTCTGAAGCAAACAAAAGGAGTTTATTTCAATCAGCCATATCAGGACATCAATATTGCAATGACTGTTAAAGTATTGTTAATAATACTGGTTAGAGTATTGAGAGTATGTTATGGATTATCTCTAGGTAGCCAGAAGTATAGGTTGAAAAGGGGGCCCCAAGATACTTTTCTTTTTTTTCCCCTCCAAGATAGTTTCTGATGGATATTTTAGGAGATAAGGAAATGGGACCTTATTGAAAATTCAGAACTGAATAATTGGCAAGAAACAAGAAAAGTGATCATAGGTCAGATCCCTGTATTGGGAAAGTTTAAGGCTCATTTTTTTTTAATTTGTTCTTTTTAGTTATCCATGACAGTACAGTGTATTTTGGTAAATTACACATACATAGGATATAATTTATTTTATTTGGGATCACATTCTTGTGGTTATACATGATGTGGAGTTACCAGGTCATGTGTTCAAACAAAAGGCCAGAGGGTATGGGGATGTGGCTCAATTGGTAGGGTGCTTGCCTTGCATGTACAAGGCCCTGGGTTCAATCCCCAGCACCACACACACACACACACACACACACATAAAAAATGTCCAATTAATTCTACCATCCTTCTTATTCCCTCTCCCTCTCTTCTCTTCATTCCTCTTTGTGTAATCCAATGGATTTGTATTCTTTCTCTCCCCACCCTCCCTTGTTTTTGGTTAGCATCCACATATCAAAGAGATCATTCGGGCTTTGGTTTTTTGGAATTGGCTTATTTGATTTAGTATGATATTCTCCATTTCCATCCATTTACTGGCAAATGCCATTATTTCATTCTTTTTTATGGCTGAGTATTATTCCATTGTGTATATATTCCAAATTTCTTTATCCATTCATGCATCGAAGGACACGTAGGTTGTTTTAACACCGAAGCTATTGTGAGTTGAGCTGCTATATCAATATAAATATTGATGTGGCTGGGTCACTGTGGTATGCTGTTTTTAAGTCCTTTAGACCAAGGAGTAGAATAACTAGGTTAAATGGTAGTTCCATTCCAAGTTTTCTAAGGAAAGAGTGGAGCAGAGTTTTTCATCAGACACAAATGCCCCTGTGGAAGATGCTACTATTATTGTCTTTAGAAATGAGAAAACAGTATGGTGTAGGGGAAGAGAAAGAACGGGGTAGACAGAGACAGAGAAAGGTAAGAGACATAGAATATCATATGCATAACATCTTATAAAGGTCTCAGAATAAATGAAGAGTTTAAGAAATGTCAAATAGGAAACGTTGACTTATACATAGTAGGTCAGAGATGCAATGAGTGAGCTCTGAATCAGCACAGCTGAGTAATCAAACAGACCCCCGTCCTCATATGGGCCACAGCAGAAGACAGGCACCAACGAAGGAGCTCAATAGCTGGGAGGTAAACATGAGTGGACATTCAGAAGGGGCCAAGTTGCATGTGAATGGTAAAGTCTTTTGTCACAAGGACAACCAAATTCTAGGGTCTTGAACATGAGATAGGAATAACATTTGAGTGGGACAGGCCTGGATTTGAGTCCAGGTGCTGTTTCCTTACTCTTAGCCATGGGAAAGGTATTTATAGTCTCTCAGCTTTGGCTTTTTTTTTTTTAACCTATAAAATGGAAGCATGAAAACAGTTTGTATAGAGATTAATTTGAAGGTTCACTTTCACATGGAAAGTATAAGCAAAGTGCCTCCGTATAATAAGCAATACTAGGTAGTAACCATTAGAGCATTTATTCTTTTTTAAATGGTAATATGTAGTGGCCATCTCCTGTGTTGGACTGATTGGATACCCATTCCAAAATTTATATTAAAATCAAAGTTATATGAAAATCAAAGTCACAGACTAAAAACCAACCCAAAGCCTACTGATGGTTTTCTTAGGTTAGTTGATTATGATTATTTTCTCTTTGCTCTCTCTTCTAAATAATCAGTAATAAAACTTTATTTTTAGTGGAAAAAGGATAATAGGATCCTCTTTTCTTTATAATTGCTAAGTCTGTGAGCAGATATCTAGAGACTCTTTTTTTTTCCTTTTCCTTTCTCATTC